GATGCTCCATTTTATTGTTTTGTACTTAATGTTTATTCAAGCCAAGGACTTTATATGTATAGAGTTTATGACACTCTCTTTTGTTGTAACCACGCAATGTCTTGGAAAGGTGTAAGGTCGTAAGACATTTATTTTTGTTGATTATTAAATGGTAGTACATGCTATAGATTCAAGATGAATATTAATAAATGTATACTGCATGTGTAATCTTTTGTAATACGAACTCTGATAAATGAAAGCACATTATTTCTATCAACATTTTGTTTTAAGGATTGGATTTATTGTTATAATTTGGGGGCGTTACATAGGTTGAGATTGTTGTCGGAGATGGCAATAGTAGTCGAGGAGATGGGTGATTAGAAAGACTATAAGTATAATTTGTTCTTTTTTGTGAGCTCAACTTTTTGATAATTAATTATTTTTCACTAAGGAAAATCGAAGCACACAATACAAATAGTTTATTTGGTGCAACTTACTATAAGTTAAAGTTGATAATCAAAAGTGTACATAAAATAAAAATAAAAACACTCCTCTCATAACGTTTAGATGATCAATTTTTTTGTTTTATTTAAATTTCATCTAATAAACTATAAGTAAAAAAAATTAGGCTAAACAACCTCATGCAAGCTCGCAAATAAAATATAGCATAGACCCTCAAAATGGTGTATACTATGCAAGTTAAGTTATTTGCGAGCTTAGTTAATACAAATGATATAATTTAATATTATGAGTCATAACTAAAAAAAATTTTGAGTTATAGCAAAATATCACATGTGATATAATTAAACAATTCTTGAATCATAATCAAAATAATATCATAATCAATATCACAATATGTCATATAAATGACATGCTAATTTAACTTGAGAAGTGGGTTAAAAGAGATGACATTATAAAATCTATTTAATTTTTATTTAATAAAAAAATATTAAAGAGATGACCTTACTTATAAGCGATGTGTTTTAAATAAAAATTATTAAACAGTTTTAGAATATCATATAGTATTGCCTACGTGATACTCAAAGTATGAGAAATCACAAATTACACTAAGTAGTCTGTTAACTGCCTGAAAATAATAAATTCATTATATCTAATCTATAAGATTTTTTACTATACTATTGGTTTAAACTACTACATAAATAATGCCACATAGTGCTCTTAAAGTATCAAATAATTATTTATTGTGCACATGACCCCCTGGACCTTCTTTTTCTGCTATTGCGTGTCAAACTATTTGATATAATTTCTATCTATAATTTATTAACTAAAAACAATTTAAATAAATAGAAAAAATAGTGAATTACACTAATAGTCTCTATAGTTTGGAGTTTGTGTTACTTTGGTCCTTAACTTTTCAATTGTGACACATTTGACCATGAATTTTGAATCTTGTTCCAAATAAAGACAATTGAAGATATCAATAGATTTTTCAAGGGTAAAATCGTCAATTTGATAAAATATAAACTAATTTGACAAAAATAAATGTCAAATAAATATTTTTGAATTTTTAAAAATTATTTCTATCTACTAAAAATAAAATTATGTAAAATTGATAAATCTTTTAGACATTTATTTATTTTTTTTACCAAATTAATTTTATTATGTGTTTGGATGATGATCATGTAAAATTAATTTTTAAAAATTAATCATGTAATTTTTATTAATTTTTTTCAATTTTACATAATTTTATCATTGGTGGATAAAAATAATTTTAAAAAAATAAAAATATTTTTTTGACATTTATTTTTGTCAAATTAATTTATATTTTATTAAATTGATAATTTTGCCCTTGAAATTAAACAATGGTATATTTAATTGTCCTTATTTGGGGTTGGTTTGGAATGTTCTAAAAAAATATACTTTTTGACTTATTGGCTTATATGGGTTGGGTTTGGATTGGATTTAATGCGATGTGTTAGAGAGGTGATGTAATTTAAATAAAATGATGTGACTTAAATAGGATATTGACTTTTTGACTTTTTGTATTATTTAGGTTATGCCAAACTTAGCCTTAGAACATAATACAAAATTCAAAATTAAATGTATCAACAATTAAAAATTTATGAATTAAAGTGATACGTGTTCTAAATTATAAGAACTGTTAGTGTAATTTAGCTTTAAAAAAAAATTCATTATTTAAAAACTATAGAAGGACTAGCTTTTGCTGGCTAGTTACTACTTTTAACTTTTAAAAAAAAACTTTACCAAACAGGCATTGTCCTGCACTTCGTTTTGGACTTTAGGAGGTCAATAATGGTATAGATCACTAAAAAATTATCATTTATATCACCATTAAGGATGTCACTAATGATGTGGCAAGAAAAAAAAAAAAAAAAGCTAAGACACAAAACATATGTGGCAGTGGGTGAGACTCACTGTCACATCCCTAGTACAATCACTAATTAGTGGTCTGTATCATTTTTCTTAGGAGGTGGTGGTTAACTTTTTAATTTTGGAATTTTTTTGAATATTTTATTTTGGAGTTAAAAAAAGTCTCATTTAACATATATATTTTTTTCAATAAAAAAAAACATATATATTTTGTGATTTAAAAAAGTAATAATTATTATATTTTAAATATAATATTTTATTTTATCTTTTTTATATTCTATCCTATCTTTTTATGACTTAAAAAAAAATAATAATAATAAAAAATAAAAAAATAAAAAATTCAAAAAACTTCTTTTGGACCATTGATCATGCCTCAGTGGTCTTCATCGATCATCGTTGCCCTATCATGGCTTGACGAAATCTAAGAACCACTGTTTGGATAACTGTTTTAGGCTGTAAAAGGATCAGATCATACCTTCTTGATGATAGAACCTTCTTGGATAAATCACGTGCTTCCAGGAAACTTCTTGATGAACCAACCCAGCAGTGGAGTGATATCACAGATTGAATATCACCCACACTAACCACAGTGTCAAAGACTTGATCGTTGTGTTTTTGGGAGAGAGTCAGAATGTGGGTAGAAAAACAGACTACGTTATTTTTCCTTTTTTCACAGATTACCCATAACCATATCAGATATTTAATATATTATAATATCTATCCATATCAGTTAAGATACAGATAATATCTAATATATATTATATCTATCTATATCAGTTCAAACTGATAACGTCTGTTTCAAGAGTGGTTATCCTAAATAGGTTTGATTTCAAAATCAAAACCTATTTGGATAAGGATTCAAAATCAAATTTAATGGTCATGCCACATGGACGCCCATTACTAACAAGAAATGTACTACTTAGATCAAGTTTTGCTAAACTAAAAAAGTGTATTTGTTTCATCTTTTTATCTTTTTTAGGTCACATCAATCAACATCTCATCTCTATTTTTTCTACACATAATACAAGAAAAGTCAAAAAGTACACTTATTTAGTCTTCCCAAACTAGGCCTTAAAAGGTTGTGACTTAATCAGTTCAAATTCCTGACCTCTCATCACTATATATCTGAGGTGCAACTACTTGTCAAAGTGCCACAAGGACCTTGGCTTATGAGTCTCCATATGGAAACTGAGATTTTTAGTCCAAAAATCGTTATAAATTATTATATTATTTTTTGTATATATTTTTATGAAACATTAAAAAATTAACTGAAAATGGCTAATTTTCAAATGGGCTTAAGTTAGGTTAGAAGTAGTGAAAAATGAATAAGTTCATTTCTTATCCGTTGAGATTTTTAAAAAATAACTTGATTAGTTATATAATTTTTATAATATTGAGATTGTGGATTAATATACGAAGGAAAATTGAAATTTCACTTCTATCTGTATTTATCCAAGCATTCTAAAAAAATTCAAACCAAAATTTGTGTACATTTTTGTTTGAATTTTTATTGATTTTTTAGAATATTTTAGTTATTTTTTAAATTTATTTAATCCTGATATATTTAAAAAATTAAAATATGAAAAAAATTGACAAACAAAAACCCATCTAAAAATATAACCAACCTGTCTTTGTTGTCCTTATGCACTTAGGTTGTTATGAATTTAAAAAATTAAAAAAAAATTAAAATATGAAAAAAATTGACAAACAAAAACCCATCTAAAAATATAACCAACCTGTCTTTGTTGTCCTTATGCACTTAGGTTGTTATGAACTTTTTTTTGTTTTTTTTGTCTTTATTATCTTCGTTCAAGTTTCAATCAATTGGCCCTTCTTTCAATCAATTGGACCCCTCTTTCTCCGGTGCCTCTCTCTCCACGTGGTCCCCTTTCTTGCCTTACCTATGCTATGAGCCACCTAAAAGGTCTTGGCTGTGCATTGCATATTGTCTGCATGTATTTTTATTATATAATTTTGTTATTTGAATTATATATTTTTATGAGATAATTTATGTAAAGTTGTGAAAATTTATATAGCCTCCGTTTGGGAGTGGGTTGGCTTTTTGGCTTTTTAGCTTTTTTAGCTATTTTAGCCTGGGCTTAAAAGCTTGGTTTGGGAAGAGCTTTTTGACTTTTTTGAGTTTTTTTGTGAGAGAAGAATATAATGATTGTGGGTTGGATGTGATGTTTTGTTTGTTATGGCTAAAATAGTCTATTTTGTTTTTTGTGGCTAAAATAGCCAAAAAAACCTGCAAACCCACTTGCCAAACACATGCATAATTTTATAAATTTCAAATTTTTTATGAATAAATTTATTCAAATTTTTATTCAACTTACATATTTTTATAAAATTATCTATATAAGTTCGTAAAAAACTTACCTAATTTTATAAATTGTGTATATGATGTGCAACCACTTAACCCAAACACTTCCCCCAATAAAATTATTAACAATAAATGGAAATTGTATTATACAAATTGTATATTTAAATAAAAACAAACAAATTTATATTTAATAATTGAAATTATAGAACAAGAAATCATGATGCTAAATCATTCAAGAGAGTACAACTTGATGAATAGAAATACATATAACAAAAATAAGAAAAAGAAAGCAAATCGAAACCTGTGTGATATTATAGTCTCCTTAAAATAGATTCGCTGTCTCACTATGGGTGTTGGAGGTATGTCGGCGTCTGTATTCTAGGAGACGACGGTTAGAACCCACTAATGTAGAAACACCTTTTGTTTAGCTCTGGCGAACTGACAACGGCAACACTATCTCACAAGAAGAATAATACTATAGAAACAGGCTGACTATGACATGAGAGCAAAGAATTTCCGTGTTACAACCAAGAGGGAGGTCTCTTTTCATACACAAAGAGGGAGAGAGGATGAGCCTTCCAGCAATAAATGCTTAATTCAATTTCTACAAAACTACCCAACTAATGTAGCAAAACTAATGGGACATAAGTGTGTAAGTTACACACAATACACACGTGTGTGTATATGTCAGTAGTCATAATCCCATGAACTCCATCCACATCCTTTGTCTCAAATTCAAGTCCTTCTGCGTAAACAGATATTTCAGACTCTTGTGATTAGAAAACACTTCAAACTTCTCACCATATAGGTAATGCCTCCAAATCTTCAAGGCAAAGATCACCGCCGCTAACTCTAAGCCGTGAGTAGGATAGTTCTTCTCATGAGTTTTCAACTGCCGCGAGGCATAGACTACTACCTTCCTCCCCTTGCATCAAGACGCAACCCAAGCCTTCCCGTGAGGCATCACAATACACCGAATAGCCCAAACCCCTCTCCGAAATAATCAATATTGGAGTGGTAGTAAGTCTAATCTTAAGCTCTTGGAATGACTTCTTACAAGTCTCGCTCCAAACAAACTTAACCCCCTTCCTCGTCAGCCTAGTCAATGGTGAGGCTAGTCTAGAGAAATCCTTCACAAACCGACGGTAATACCCGGCCAACCCCAAGAAACTATGGATCTCAAAGACATTCATAGGTTGCTTCCAATCTTGCACAGTCTCTATCTTGGATGAATCTACAGTCTGAAAGAATTAACTTCTGAAACATCTCTGCAAAGCACAATTTGGGTTGGCTTCGCATCTAAAAACTCATAGTCTCACTGAAATAAAAGATGAACAAAAATGCAACTGAAAGAAGTTTTGTCAAACAGGATTGCCAAGAATAAAAACCTAACACTCATTTACCTCTAAGTTAGTCCAATCCAACACATGTGATGGATCCGGCTCATACTTCCGAAGCGTACAGATATGGAACACGTTATGTACCCCGGAGAGCTATGGCGGCAAGACCAAACGATAAGCTACCTCGTCAATCCACTTAAGAATCTTAAAAAGCCCAATAAATCTAGGGACAACTTCCCACTATTCCCAAACCTCATCAAACCGCGACTAGGTGATATCTTTAAGAAGACATGATCTCCTACCTCAAAAGACAAAGGTCTCCTCCTACAGTCGGCAACTTTTCTGGCGACTCTAGGCCGTGACTAACCTCTTACGGATAACTGCAACTTTCTCTGTCATTTCCCAGTCTAACTTTGGACCCAACATAGGCTTAAACACACAGGAGATCTACATGGTCAACCATGCAAGGCTTCAAATGGTTCCATGCCAATACTCGACTGGAAGCTATTGTTATAGACAAACTCCACTAAAGGCAAGTGCCTCTCCCACGATCCCTTAAAGTCAAGAACACAATCCCAAAGCATATCCTCTAAAATTTGAATGGTGCGCTTTGACTGTTCGTCAGTCTGAGGATGATATGCGATGCTAAAAGTCAATCTCGTGCCCAAGGCATTCTGTAGACTCTGCCACAAGCGAGCCGTAAAATGCGGATCTCTGTCTAAAAC